GCAAAATGACAGATATTCATTAAAAAACTAACTCAGTGACCAAATGATAAAACAATATTATTATTGAACTCGATAATCCCAAAATATCATGATTTGTCAGTGTCTTGCAGATCAAGCAGATATCTTATATATTCCAGTGCCCACCCTTACAACGCCGTAGAGTGTGCATGTACATGTATTGAAAGCTAAACTGAGTAAACAATAATGATTCTTACATGAAAAACATGGGAGAGGTAAGATTAAGGTTGAAGTAACCTTGAAGGGCTTCAGCACTTTGGGATTCATCTTTGATACGTTTTGAGACATCCCCTAGAGATCCTGCATTACTGACAAGTAAAGCATGGCTGATGTTTGATGGCTCAACCTGAAGAAAAATAGACCTTATGAAAATTTATTTCATTCAATAACATTTTTGGGTAAAAAAATGACATTGATAATATTTTATTTTTTATCTGACCAAATAATGAAAACCCAGATTTAGTTTTATCAACTAAGTTGATAGATTTGCCACTGTAAGGACTGATAAAGAAGCAGATGTCTTCAACCACTGGCCCTTGGCAGAGATTATAAATTTTGCCCTGACAAAGGGCATGCACTTAAATGTCTCTCTCTTCCTAAGGTAGCCAATTCAACTTATCAACTCAACTGATGAAACCACAGGTCACCCAGGCTCAGTGGGAGTTTGTTAGACTTTGAATTTATAAGAGAATGTATGAAAATGAACAAAATACGTCCTAAATTCCATTTTTTGACAAAAATAGAAATGAAGATGACTCACCTTGTGTTTTTGTTTTGTTATTTACTGTTTCTTTGCTTCTAAAGCCATTTGGAAGTTGTTTTATCGACTTTAATATTTTGAGTTGTTGTTTATCAGTGAAGTTAACCCCAAAAATTTCCACAATTTTCCTCAAAATCAGGCGATTTTTCCGCGAGTCTCTCCCTAAAAATCCCGTGAAATCTTTTTTCCGCAACCTATCAGAAGCCCTGAAAAAAGTCGTTGCTTAACTAATAAAAGTGAAAATATTCTTAATTTTGTGACTAGAAGTGTGGGAACCCCGATGCCTGTTTCAATGCGCGAATTGTAAACAGAATTTCTAGTTGGATTTCACCCAGGATTCAGATCAAAGTTTTGCAATACACAGCAACTTGCTACATACTGATAACAGCTGAAACAACTGAACAGCATGGAAATTAATCAATGCATTTCATTTTCAATACGATTGAATGTGACCAGTCAACATGACCAGCAAGACGAAAGGTTGACCGGTCAACTTTCCAATCAGGCTGGACATTGTCCGTTCACCAGCCATTATTTCAAGCCCCGCCATTGACTCCATTGAGGGGCACAAATAAGGCCGCCAGAAACCAACAGAAACATCTGTTCTTGGATTTTCCCATTTATGCGTGAATTCCTCGCCTCATAAAGATGCAAGTAATATTTATTCTAAAACAAGGAATGTTTAGATAGCAAAATCTCAAAAAAGAACAGTAAAGTTTTTTAACATAATAGTTTTCCCAGCCGCCAGCTAAATAATGTGTCACGCAAAAGCCTGGATATTCAATTGTCCTCTTTCACAAAACAGAGAACCCTTTCGAACTCAGGAAATTTATGTAAATAAAGGTGTTTAGGTGCTGTAATACCTCATGAAAGTAGAAACTCGGACGAATTGATAATTTCTTAGTTTGAATTTTGGTGAGGTCATGTGAAAACTTAGAATGGGGATATATGCTTGACATAATTTGACTACTAGATAATGTAAACAATGATATTTAACATTAATAGAACAACAATGTATGGTCATTTTAATACTTACTGAAGTCTAACTTACCTTACTAAATGCATTTTCTATTGTTTTACCCAGTGTGTCTATTTCCCCCAGGTTGGTAGCAATAATGTGAACTGCAATAAACAGATGATGTCATTCTTTGCTTATCAGTGATGAATNGTAATATTTATTCTAAAACAAGGAATGTTTAGATAGCAAAATCTCAAAAAAGAACAGTAAAGTTTTTTAACATAATAGTTTTCCCAGCCGCCAGCTAAATAATGTGTCACGCAAAAGCCTGGATATTCAATTGTCCTCTTTCACAAAACAGAGAACCCTTTCGAACTCAGGAAATTTATGTAAATAAAGGTGTTTAGGTGCTGTAATACCTCATGAAAGTAGAAACTCGGACGAATTGATAATTTCTTAGTTTGAATTTTGGTGAGGTCATGTGAAAACTTAGAATGGGGATATATGCTTGACATAATTTGACTACTAGATAATGTAAACAATGATATTTAACATTAATAGAACAACAATGTATGGTCATTTTAATACTTACTGAAGTCTAACTTACCTTACTAAATGCATTTTCTATTGTTTTACCCAGTGTGTCTATTTCCCCCAGGTTGGTAGCAATAATGTGAACTGCAATAAACAGATGATGTCATTCTTTGCTTATCAGTGATGAATCTGTATATTTGCAACATTGTCACATACGTAGTGATCAAACTGTTTAATAACACCTACAGAATGATACAGATGGGCACCTGGAATGAGTAAGTTTAATACTTACCTTGGGCAGAAGAGTAAGTCTCAATGATTTTGTTTCTCGTCTCTTGAAGACCTTCTTCACTACGCGCCAGTAGAACAAAATGACCCTCGATCCCTTCATCAGAAAACTCTCGCGCCAGAGCGATGGCTACAGACCTCCCGAAACCACGACTAGCCCCAGTAATAACGCAACAAGTTCGAGAACCTGAGGGAAACATCTTTTTGTTTAGCGAACTACAGAAAGGAACAGGCGTTCCAAAGACTTTACTTGGTAGCCGCGCCGATAGGTCCTCCCGCGCGAAGGACGCGCGAATAGCCACTCCTAACTCGCGCTTTCTCCGTTCGTCCCTCGAAATGGAAAACTTGTTTTATACCCTCTCTCATTTAAGTCGCCTCTTTCCATACCCTTATAATAATCGAAAATTAACAAAGCTAATGGGCTGTATAGCAAATCCCACATAAACAGAACGTTGACGTCCCGGACATCAAAAATGGCAACCGGAAGTTGTTGTTCCCTCTCTCTATGTGCTCTCGCTTGACAAATTCGTACAGACAAGTGTTCCATCACGCAAGACATCGAACTTCCGGTTGCTATTCATGACATCTAGGGAGTCAGCGTTCTCGATGCCTAAGCTCACTTTGTTCAAAAGCTGGATAGCGCTATCCACTGGATAAGTATTAGGGAACTAATTTGCACAATTTTATCTGGCTTTTTCCACCATCTGATGCATTGTAGCCAAACTCATCCCCGGGACTTGTCCAGTGCCATTAAGGAAAAAGATAATAATAATTAAAAAAACGAACACTTAAACTGCAAAGGACACCAAACAAATATGCCGCTAAGTGCAGGTTCTGTAGAAAATTGATGTTGATATTCTCATCTTTTGTTACAAAGAAGCCGTCCTCCAACCTTTGTCTTTGGGGAGCAAAGAGAGCATTTTCCTCCTATCAATGTGGCCTTGGATCAAACCCCCCTGTTGATGCCATATGTGGTTTGAGTTTGCTGTTAAGGTTTTCTCGGGGTACTCCACGTACTCCGACTCCCCCACCCCCAACCAACATTTCTAAATCCAATTTGATCCAGAAAGGTAGCCGTTGTACATCCACTCCCTCCCACGCAGAAAAAACCATAGGGATGAGGAGGGGGGTGGCTATGTAAGGCTCCAGAATGGTAGACAAAGAACCATGTTGTATGTGTGCTACCACAAAATCAATGTTTTTATTAATTCCAAATATTTTCTAAAAAATGCACATTTTCTTTAACTTTAACTTTGTTTCTTAAACATTAGCTACAAAACTTCTAGAAAAACTTTTTTATATGTATTTCAAATTCTCAAAATTAAAGCAAAAAAAGGAAATATTAGGTCTCACTCTTATTTGTAAATTTCAAAACTTCAATATAATATTATTAATGTAATATATTATTATTATTGTTAGATAATATTTTTATCAATATCATTAGAGAAATATTTCTCCACTCAAAACTATTTTGGAAGAAGTTCTCAAACAGGAACAATAAATTCAACATAGAAAAACTGTTTGTAAAATTACTGTTGTTTCAACATCTTTTTAGTAAAATTTCAAATAATCAATAATCAAAATACAAGGTTACTAGAGAGAAAGTTCTCTCCACTCAAAATTACTGGAAGTTATCGAATAAGAACATTATTTTAAGGGCGAAAAATGTAAACTGTCCCTTAAATTGGATTCAAATCTTACTGTGATAGAAACATCCAGATCTACGATGTACAATAATCTTCAGCATACCAGCAGTCTGTCTGTTTTGACTGTCATTCACTGTTGGGAGCTGGAGAAAGAAGATAGCACACTTATGCATTGCTATCATCTGAGCCTTCTTGCCTTCCTGTGAATTTCCATCGTGAAGGGCAGTTTCTTTCCTTGAAGCCTTGATAGAATGACCCAGTCAGCAGCAGCCCTTCCTCATCACGAGACATTGACACGCTAAGAGAACCCTTGTACCACTTTCCACAGACTTTCTGTTCTGTTTTGAAGTGCAATGTCTTTTCAGCCAACTGATCTCCTTTCTTAGGATCCTTGAAGCCCATGATGTCCCCTCCACTGCAGGCCTCATCCAACAACAACTCACCACTGGCACCAAATCCCAAGTCCAGAGTAAGGTCCCCAGTGTCACCCACACACTGTGGCGGATCTGTCACTGTGAGTTTCCACGTACCTGCTGCTTGTTCGTTTAGCTGCTTCACCTGCAAGACTTTTTGTTCTTCTCTCTTCTGCTTTTCTGTCGACTTTTGCAAGGCTGCATCGGCATTTGTATTGAATAATTTGGCAAGGGCTGGTTGTAACTCTGTAAATTTCTTCCTTGGCAACATAGCTACATCTTTCACTTCATTAGCGGTATTCAAGACAGACTTATTCTTCTCTGCCACCATAACAACCAGCTGCTGTAACTGCTCTTCACTGCACTTCTTTGTCAAGCCAACCAGACCTGCCATATCTGACACTACCTGTTTGATAGTATTGGGATTCTCTTCAACCAGCTTTGATTTCTTCGCCTCATAATTCTTGGCCTCGTTTTCACGACTTTCTTCCTTTAATTTCCGTTTCTTATTCCTCTCCTCCCGGCTGGCAACTTTTGCTTTAAAGCCCTCAACACCATATTTGGCTTCTGCTTTCCTCTCCAAGTCTTTAGGATCAAAGTACTTGGAAGGTCGTCCCATACCAAATCTATGCCAAGGTGGAATGCGATAACTCAGGTCCGACAAATCTTCTGTTGTCAGGAAATAGTCCTTCTTGGCTTCTGCTGCTGTGGGCCATGAGAAGATGAAGCTACTGTCAGAGTTCATTCTTTGTGACTGAGAAAGATCTTGTCTCTAAGGCCTCTCTGATGATAAGCTCTTATTTCCTCAAAACCTGATAAAAAAGAGAAATTATAATATTATCAATATTTTTATTAAGATCCTCCAAGTTAGGGGCCACCAATAATTATAATAATTAATAATTATTGCTGCTTGAGCACGAGCTTGCAAGGCGACAGCAGAAAATATCTATACCATACCACGGACAGCTTTCATATTTTAACCTCTCCTTGCCTTCAAAATTTACAAAATGGTTTATCCCTTATGCCCTTGGTATTTCATATTGTTAATCCACCTACACCAATTTTCCATTTGATCTTCAAAGCCTTTCAGATTTACTGGCAGGGTTTGCAAATATGCCCAATTTGGCTTATTTGATACCAAAATATTTCAAATGACTCTACCTCTGTTCAGGGCAATTGGTTACAACAGGAGTCATTGTGAACCCAGAAACTCTGGAATAAAATTTTAAAAAAATAAAATAAAAGTTTTCTCCTTACCACTGTTCAAAAGGTGCAACCCACATAAATTTTACATTGCCCCAAACTAGAATATTAAAATAAGACTATTTTGTGATGAACGTGTGTACATTCAGAAAATATATTATGATCAAGTGTATCTCCAACATCTTTAATTTTAGCCAATGAGGTCAGCAATGATGTCCTCAGTTAAAAGACCATATTTGGCACTGAAATGACAAATAATCAGGCTGCTCTGACAAGAGAAAAAAGGACGTTTTGTAGCACCAAGGCCTCTGGAGCTTGAAATACAATACACATTTTGTCAGTTTTCTTCTGCAAATGAACACAAACGCATGCCTTATTGATTGATGCTTATCTACTATCCTACTTCTGCAGTTGTAGACAGTATCGTCAATTTGTGCTTTTTTGGGGAACCAATAATTAATAATTAAGGCCATAACATCACCATTTTTGAGGAATACACTCGTCTGTTCCCTGTGGAGATTCCTGGTTGGCCTCCGAATTCCAGTAATACAAGAATCCATCCATGCCTTCACATCTCCAGTTCAAAGACCCTGCACCCTCACCCCCCAATTTTTGCCCTCGGAATTCCAAAAAAAGCTGTCCATGGTATGGTATGGATATTTTCTGGAATCACCCAATATGTTATATGGCCAGGTGCAAGACTTGTTTGTTTCAACAACATGGCAAAAATATCGCACAAACCAACAAAAAAAATATCATGTCCCTACTTCACAACAATTCTAAAGTAATCTCAAAAAATAAAGTTAAAGTTAAAGGTACTCCAGATGACAGATGAGGACAAAATGAAGAGCCCTACCAGAAAACTCCAAAAAAAATAATAAAGGCCCATCATGTAAATATTTGACCAAACTGATAATTGGCAATTACTGGATGAGCCTGATTATGATCTGAAGATTTAAACGCAGATATTCACCCAACTCGATCAGATCTTTAATGTGGTCTGAGGTTTGCGTTTTCGTGGCACCCTGAGTGTGTCTACATTCATGAAAAGCATACTTTCAAAACTCGTCTTAACTACTACCTTATTTTTAGGGGCAAACCGTCATGAAGTAGCTCGCACGTTAATCTTTCCTCGAGGCATAGTCTCTCCAACGGAGAGGTGAACATGCCGCATGCAACAATGGAATTTGAACTCTGCATGTTCGGATGAAAACTGCAGCC